GTGTATCCTGCGTACTGCTCGTGCTAGTTGATACTTTTTCTGGTGATAAAGAATCAGAATTTTGCACATCTTCTCCTGGAAGATTCTCATGTGGAAGAAACAATTCCTCTTCTTCACTAAAATCACATTCTTTTAAGGTTGCTATTATTATTTTGGCAAATCTTTCTCCTAAAGCTGATGCTTTAATTGACACTGATTTACTCGCTTGTCCTTTCACAATTTGTAATTTTTCTAAAATTTTATAATATTCTTACAGAGCATCCGTAATATCTTGCTGTTTGTAAGAATCCATGAAAGTTAATTCATCTTCCTCCACGATTGTTTCATGTTCTCTGCTTGTGGATGGTTGCGCACCAATAATTTCTGATTTTGCTGCCATATTTTAAAAATTACGGAACAAAATATCTTGCGTCTAACTGCTTTTGCTTCTAGAACGAGACTAACGATTTTGTAACCGTCAGAACTGGATCCTTCTGTTTTTCCCCTCTCAATCTCTTCGTCCTTTTATCGTATACCTGCGTCTTTAACGGCTGCTTTTACATAGCATGTAGTAACATAAATAATCTGTAGTATATATTTTAACATAAGATAGTTGCAGGAAATGTAGAAAGCTTTAAAAATAAAATTAAAAATATTTTTCTAACAAATATTTCAATTATTTAATTATTATTTTGTACAGATAAATATACTAAAAAATATATACCTAAATATATGCCCAAATATTTATTTTTACATATTAAATGCATATTACGTGTACATATAAAATAGTTAAAAACAATAATAAAATTTTTAAAAAATGCGGAGCGCAGGTTTCGATCATGGGTCCTCACTACTACTAGTCTTACGCTCACTTACAGCGCTACACGGCATATCGACAATGCGTCTTTCTTTATATCTTATATCCAACATTGCCGATTGTTCCAAATTTCAAATGTAAAAAAATATAATTTAAAAGGCGCATTAGACGAAACGCTCGGACACGGATCAACTATTTTTCGATGTAGATTAACCATGTTAAAGGGGATCAAAATCGGTGATTAGTCAACCGTGGGTTCTCCTTGTAAGCGCGCAGCGAGAAGAGACAGCCCACTGTTACGTGGTCGCTAGGACGCAAAGATCTAGCGTTCAGCACCACTCGTATGTTGCCGTTGTCAATTGTAGAGCGCTCCTCCCAACGTTTCATCGCGTGCCTAGTAACCAAATAACAGTGGACTGTACCGCCACGGGTCTCTTCTCGCTGCGCACTTAAACTCGCGCGAATTGGCCGATATTTTTTAACTAATTACCCATTAATTATTGCAAAAATCGCAAAATGGTAGAGGACTTTTCTACTCGGTTTAACCAGCTCTACCTACACCCGAGAGGTGATTCAGCAATTATCGGACACCCTGTATACAGGGTGTTTTATTTTAATCTAGCCAGGCGAATATTTCAAACGCTGTTGAGTTTAGAGAAAAATGTTTTAAACAAAAGTTGTAGGGCTCGGAGGGGGACACAAGATGGTGGGCTTGAGTTTTTGATGAAAGTAAAATTGAAGGTCATATGAAGGTCAACTTTGTTTTTTTAAATGAAAGTAGTATTTTTTATTGCATATTCTGAAAGAACATAAAATTCTGCATTAAAATTGTCTAACACGTTTTTTATGAAAATCCATAATTTTTGAAGAAATTTAGCAATTAAAGAAAAAATGTTTGTTTTTCGTAAAGAGAATCATGCATCAATTTGTACATGTTCATGAACATTTCTCGTTCTTAGAGTTACCCGGAATCAACGGCGTGGACGTGACGAAAATCTGATTCCATCGGGGTTCTTGATTTACGTGAGTCCCTTTGCCTCTCACTTTCGGGGTTGCTAAATTTGCTAAATTTCTGAACTCAAAAATTATGGATTTTCATGAAAAACG